ACTGCTCTGAACTCCGGTTCCGGGAAGTCTCTGGGGACCCAGGATTCATGCGGGGAGAGGCTGGACTGTCGGGCAGCGGGTGAGCTTGAGTGCGACTTTCCCTCAGAGGTGCTTGCAGCAATTGTCGGGTCACTGAGACCCGCGACTCCGGGCGGAGAATCAGCCATAGCTGCTTGCTCCGCCCTTTGACTCCCTGAGACCTCGCCCCACCCAGGCTGCGGCAGAGGCTTTTGCATGTGAATGTACCTAACTGCAGCCGAGCCAGGCAGACCCAGAACTTCCAAGAGAAGGCCCAAGGCCCTGCAGCAGCTTGCATTGCTTCACAGCTGAGCCTCTTCGTGGCTCCTGCTGTGTGGCCTCAGGCAGAGGCTGAATTAGCACCTCCTTAGATCCAGGAGCCATTGTACCCAGTGGTCAGAGGGGGACCATCCAGATTGCAATTCCTCAGATCCATAAGGGACACACTCAGGGAGCAGACTCAGTGAGCACCAAAGCCCTACTGAAGCAAGTCTTGCCCCAGAAGGGTGTCTTCAGCACAGAAGTTCTCCCACTTCAGACACAGCTAATTCTCACAGCCAACTGGCCTGGAGGTCAATTCCTCCCAGTGATCCTACAACAACCAAGGCACCAAGAGTGCACCAAGAGTGTCCACCTGAGGTAACTGGGGAGGCTGAGCCACTGGGCCCTACAGGACACCTGGAGCGCAGGGCCACTCTATCAACACAGGGAAGCAGCCAAAATGCGGAGACAAAGAAACAGGTCACAAATGGCAGAAATGGAGGAAAGCAAACGACTGGATATAGAGTTCAAGGCCACGTTTATAAGGTTTTTCAAGAATTTTATGGAAACCGCCGATAAATTTAATGAATCCCTCAATAAGTATAGTGAGACCATGGAGGACATGAAAAAGGACCAACTAGAAATTAAGCATACACTGACTGAAATAAAGAATAATTTACAGAGATCCAACAGCAGACAAGAGGATCCCAAGAATCAAGTCAAAGATTTGAAATACAAAGAAACAAAAAATACCCAACCGAAAAAGAAAAAAGAAAAGAGATTCCAAAAATATGAAGATAGTGTAAGGAACCTCTGGGACAACTTCAAGCGTACCAACATCAGAATTATAGGGGTACCAGAAGGAGAGAGAGGGCAAGATATTGAAAACCTTTTTGAAGAAATAATGACAGAAAACTTCCCCTACCTGGTGAAAGAAATGGACTTACAAGTCCAGGAAGCGCAGAGAACCCCAAACAAAAGGAATCCAAAGAGGACCACACCAAGACACATCATAATTAAAATGCCAAGAGCAAAAGATAAAGAGAGAATCTTAAAAGCAGCAAGAGAAAGACAGTCAGTTACCTACAAGGGAATACCCATAGGACTGTCAGCTGATTTCTCAACAGAAACCATGCAGGCCAGAAGAGAGTGGCAAGAAATATTCAAAGTGATGAATAGCAAGAACCTGCAACCAAGATTACTTTATCCAGCAAAGCTATCATTCAGAATAGAAGGTCAGATAAAGAGCTTCACGGATAAGAAAAAGCTAAAGGAGTTCATCACCACCAAACCAGCATTATATGAAATGCTGAAAGGTATTCTTTAAGAAGAGGAAGAAGAAAAAGGAACTCTTACCATTTGCCACAGCATGGATGGAACTGGAGAGCGGATAAATACCACAGGATCTCACTCATTTGTGGAATATAATGAACAACATAAACTGATGAACAAGGACTGATCCAGAGACGGAGAGGCATTGATTGGACTGTCGGGCCTTGGAGGGAAGGTAGGGGAGGGTAGCGGTAAGGGGGAAAGATCAACCAAAGGACTTATATGCAAGCATATAGGACTAACCAATGGACACGGACAACGGGGGGCAGGGGGGTGAGGGCATGAGCGGGGGGCGGGGGGTAGAGGGTAACGTGGGGACAAGGACACATATGTAATATCTTAATCAATAAAAAATATATTAAAAAAAAACCAACATCAGCGATGAGACAGGATCACTGATTGGCTGCCTCCTGCACACCCCCTACTGGGGATCGAGCCCGCAACCCGGGCATGTGCCCTGACCGGGAACTGAACCCTGACCTCCTGGTTCATGGGTTGGTGCTCGACCCCTGAGCCACAGCGGCTGGGGCTGGGCTACACATTTGACACGCGTGACTCACTTCAGTGAAACAACCCGTTGTGTCAGTTACCGTCCGCGTTTCAGTGACGGGGAACCGGGGGCCAGAGAATTTATGTAACTTGTTGAGAAGCCGTGCCGCTAGACTGGGCAGCACGTGGCGGTGAGTGTAAGCTGCTGAGTCCAGAGCCTTTGCCGCTCGCTTCTGTGCGTGGCGTGGCGCCTGCTCCGCCCTGCAGAACCGCGATGAGCCGTGTTCCCGACACGGATGTCCGAATGAATGGGCTACCAGCTGGAGCGTGGCCTTGCGCTCAGCGCCCCTCCCCAGCGAAGCCGTGCCCCGGCCGGTCCGGCACCCGCCTCCCGTCCTCCTGGCGTGGGGTCTCCCCAGCCTTCATGGATGCCGGCGGAGTGTCCGGACTGGTGGCCTCGATGGCGGATATTTCCATTTCTCCCCTCCACCGCCCCGTCCTGGGAAGCCTGACCTTAGCAGCCCTCCGTTCCAGTCTGTCTGTGACCTGATACTTCAGCGTTGGGGCCCAGAAGCCGCAGGCCTGACGGACATCCCACACCTGTCAGCACTCCAGGTCAGGCCACGGATGATGGGACCGGGCTCCGAGGGAGGGCGGGGCTGGTCTTGGCCGTCTCTTCAGAACGTTGTCAGGTGTCCATGGCAACAAAGCCCCGCGGAGATGCTGAGCGGAGACTTGGCCCTCGTCCTGCGCGGCGCCAAGGATATAGCGACCTTTGAGCTGCCGCTTGCCGACAGGGCTGGGAGGACTGGCGTGTCGCTGGCCCGGGGGTGGGCTCTCCGCTTTCACAGAGGCCACGGGAACCCGGGGTTTTCTGCCAGCTAGCTACGTGCCTGGCACTGTGCTGGGTGTTAGGCACATGGCAGGCTCCTCGGGCCCTTGAAAGACGTAGAGCCTGATGGTTACGCTGCTCACAGAACCGCTGACTGCCACGCACGATCATCAGCACTGTGTTACACACGCGTGGGATTTGGAGACACGGGAAAGGCAGCAGGGAGTCCTGCCCGCGGACAGAGTGATGCTTAGGCTTCCAAAGGCAGACGTGGTTCGCTGCGAGATGAAGTCAGTGCAGTGGCCGGCACAGAGTAGGGCAAGCACGGTACCTGGCACACAGTGGGTGCTTACGGGTAATACCTGGTTAGGATCAGGATCAGCAGCAGTAGCGGTAGCACCCTAGGTCACGAAGAAGAGGTGAGTGATATATTTTTGTTAATACGTTTTTATTGATTTCAGAGAGAGGAAGGGAGACGGAGAGAGAGACAGAGACATCCATGATGGGAGAGAACCATGGATCGGCTGCCTCCTGCACGCCGCCTACTGGGGATGGAGCCTGCAACCCGGGCATGTGCCCTGATCGGGAATCGAACCGTGACCTCCTGGTTCATAGGTCGACGCTCAACCACTGAGCCACACCGGCCGGGCAAACATTGCCCTTTTAAAGGAGATGACATCCGATTGAAAGACACTTTGGAAAACGGGGCCGTGTGACACTCATATGGCGCTCACCTCTGCCTGACCCCCAAGACTTCTTCATGGTCAACACCAGTGAGCTGAGACTCCCCGACAGCCCCCTTGGTTATTGGAAGGTGTGGAGGGCCCAGGGGAAGGCGTGTCCACGTGGCTCGGCGACCTCGCCTCTTGTAGGATCTGGTCCGTCACTCAAGGCTGCCGAAATCTTTTTGGATCCCACCTATGTCACCTGACAGATTTCTCTCTTTCTCAAACGGGCGTCGTCAGAAAAAATTGGAGAAGCATGCAGCCTTTCTTTTAAGCCAAGTCATTGATGAAAATGTTGAACAGGAATGAGCCAGGGGGCTGGGCTCTCTGAAGGCTGTGAGAAAACTCCCTCCAGCCCCGGCCGGTGTGGCTCAGTGGATAAAACATCAGCCTACGGCCTGAAGGGTCCCAGGTTTGATTCCTGGTCAAGGGCACCGGCCCGGGGTGCAGGCTGGGTCCCCAGTAGGAGGCGTGCAGGAGGCAGCCAGTCAATGATCTCTCTCTCTTCATTGATGTTTCTCTCTCTCTCTCCCTCTCCTTTCCTCTCTGAAATCAATAAATATATATTAAAAAAGGAAACTCGCATCCACATCAGTGCTAGCTTATTAATCACCTCTCTCTGGGCACTGGCTTTGTCCCAGCTGCAGGGTGAGTCCCCCTAACTGTGCAGGTCTGCGCTTATTTCCTGCAAAAATTCAAATACTGACGGGAAAGGGCATCTGAGCTACTGTCACCCATTTACTTCTTTTTGTATTTTGCTGTTGTTAGTCCTCACCTGAGGATATCTTCCCATTGATCTTTTAGAGCGAGTGGAAGAGAGAGGGAGAGACAGAGAGAAACAACGATGTGAGAGAAACACATCAATTGCTGGCCTCCTGCACGTGCCCGGACCAGAGCCTGGGCCGGGGAGGAGCCTGCAACCGAGGTACCCATGCCCTTGACCGGAAATCGAACCCTGACCTCCTGGTTCGTTCACAGGTTGACGCTCAACCACGCCGGCCGGGCCAGGCGTCCCATCCCTGCGGCTCGGTTTTCTCCATTGTCACACAGGGGTGGGATGCGGCGGCAATCACCAAACGCCCGCCCTAGGGTGACTGGGAAAGTGAAAAGCTTATGTAAGGGGCCCAGTCGGTAGGAAGTGTCCGGGGCTGTTGTTTTCCTCCTCGGCCAGGGCTCCTGTCCCGAAGCCTGGGACCTCAGGGGGCCCCGGGCCACCGTGCCCAGCCCGCCCCAGTTGTGCAAGCGCCCTTGGTTCTCTTGTTACCCGGGAGCCGGCAACAAACCAAAATAAAGGAAGGGGACAGGCGGGGAGGGCCGGCCTCCGCAGGGAGCCTGAGCCGGTCAGCTGGGAATGCCTGTCAGCCATCCAGGGCGGCTCCCGCATGGGCCTGGAGGTGGGAGAGTGACTCACGCCGGCCGGTGCCCTCTCCACCCCCGCGCCCACATGCTCGGCCCTCCCCAGCCCGGGGCTCACCTAATCCCCACCGTGGGAGTCGGGGGGCATGTGCGCCCGAGCCGAGGTCTAGGGTTGCACACAGGAGCCTGCGAGTGGAAGCCTCCGTGCAGCCAGCGTCCCACGGGGCGGGCAGCGAGGTCAGCCTGGCCGCCGCTGCCTCTCCAGCCCAGACCCGGCCGGCCACAGGCAGCCGCCGCCCCGCACCCCGGAGGGCATGGCCGAACCAGAGGGCAGCGGGCTGCAGGTGCTGCTGCACACGCTCCAGGTAGGAAGGGGCGGGGGGCGGCGGGGGGGGGTGCAGGCGGACCACCTGGTGGGCTGCGTCTCCGGGCCCCTCTGGCCGGCCCCTCGGGTGCCCGGGCTCCGTTGGTTTGCTCACCGGCAGTGACCGTAGCCTGGGAGTCAGCCGAGGCTCTCACCTTGAGGCGGACCTGAGGGATGCTCTGGGGGTTAAATATTTAGCACGGACGCTGTTGCTGAGAGCTCTGCTGAAGCCGTTGAACCTGGTGGGATTAGATGCTTTGCAGGGGAGGAGAAAGTGGGGGGAAAAGGCCCGCCTGGCACATGAGGACGTGTTGAAGCTGCCCCGCAGCCCAGCGAGAGGGGAGGCCCAGCCCAGGAGGCCAGGGGTACGGGAAGCCACTCCTCCGGGCTTCTGCTGAACGTGCTCTGGGTTCCTTAGAGTTGCCCGGGGAGCCTGCTAACGTTTCACCAGCCCAGGTGGGTCGGCCAGAGGGAATCAGGATTGCCTGGGGGCCCAGGGGTTGAGCGCCGACCTATGAACCAGGAGGTCACGGTTCGATTCCCGGTCGGTCGGGGCACCTGCCCGCGTTGCAGGCTCGATCCCCAGCGTGGGGCATGCGGGAGGCAGCCGGTCGATGATTCTCTCTCATCATGGATGTTTCTGTCTCTCTCTCCCTCTCTCTTCCTCTCTGAAATCAATAAAAATTAAAAACAAAACAAAAAAAGAGTCGCCGTGGGCCAGGGTCTGGCCGTCGGCCTCCCCACAGAGTGGTTCTGTTCACTCCTCGGTTTGAGAACTCTTGTCCTGGAGCAATCTTGGTTGCACCCTAGAATCACCTGGGGACTCGCCCCCACTCCCCTCGTGCCCCCCCTCCCCCCCATCAGATTTAATTGGTCTGGGAGCAGCTTGGCCATTGATGTTTAGAAGACGCCCAGGTGGTCTCCAGGTGCCGCTAAGGCCAAGAACCACTGCTTTCCAACCGTGGGCAGAGGCGTGAGCTTAACCGATGCAGAGAATGCCTGGGCTGGGAGGGCCCAGGGGTCGTGGAAATCTGAGGCTGTGATGGGGGGTCACGGAGGGTGGGCTGCGGTACCTCCGCCCTGATGTGGACTGTAAACGTTGTGCACTTCCGCTGTAAAAAACGGTCTTAGTTTTCCTCTGATTCTTTTTGTTTTTTATTATTTAAAAATATATTTTTATTGATTTGATAGAGAAAGGGAGGGGGAGAGAGAGAGAGAGAGAGAGAGAGAGAGAGAGAGAGAGAGAGAGAAACATCAATGATGAGATGCAATTAACCAGAACATTACTGACCAGCTGCCTCCTGTACTGGGGATGGAGCCTGCAACCCGGGCATGTACCCTGACCGGGAATCAAACTGTGACCTCCTGGTTCATAGGTTGATGCTCAATCACTGAGCCACACTGGCAGGGCTCCTGCGATTCTTAATGACAGCTGTGACCCTAAAAAGTTAAAGAATGAATAAATCCAACCTTCCATGTAAAGATAAGAAAACCGAGTCTCAGAAACAAAATAGCTTCCCCCCACCCCTCCCAAGGTCAGGTAACCACCTAACTGGGGAACTGGGACCGGCACCAAACAATTCCAAGATCCCGTGACGTCGTGTCCTTTGACTCATGCTATCCGATGCGTAAAAGGCAAGGACGCGTCTGGGCTGGGAGTGTCGGGGGTGGGAGCGAACCTCAGAATAAACTTTCCGCCGGCTCGGAACTCACTGCCAGTTGAGCACAGCCCCCTGAATTCCCACCAGTGGGGGGTTTATAATTGATATTTAGAATGATCGCTCCAGGCCATTGCGGGATTCTCAATCAAAGGGAGATTTAATTACGTTCCATATACTCTACTAAGTCCGCAATTAACCAGAACATTAAAATAACGGGATCGCGCTTTCCCTGTGCGCCCAAGTTGGTCGGAATCCGGGTGTAGAATTATTTGGGTTCCTGGCCTAGCCTTGAGCCAGCCCCCACAACTGTCCCCACGGGTCCCCCTTCTGTCTTGGCGGAACCAACCAGAACTCCGACATACAGTGCAACCTCGGTTCTCCAACGACCCTCTCCCGTCTCCAACAATTCGCTCTTCTGCCCGACAACGCTTTCATGCCGACACCTGTAGGATCCCTCACGCGGCTCTCAGGCGCCAAAGGGGAGAATCCAGAGTATGAGTCAGGTTACCGCTGTTAACATCTCAGGAAACTGGGCTGTGAATATTTTCCTGTGTGTGTGTTTGCTGTTTTTGTGTGTTTGTTTTTGCTTTTGTTGCTTCTTCGTATTTGTTATTACATTTTTATTTTTCACTGTACATTTCCTTTCCTTTTTGGTTAAGTTTTCATTTCCATTTCAGGTCCTTTTTGTTTTTGAAGTGTTTATTTCTAGATTAAATAGTACGTTAGACATGTACCGTTCGTATATAAGAAAGGTTAAAGGAGGGGATCATTTGGGGGTCTGGAACGGATTAATTCCATTGACGTTATTTGTAATGGGAAAAAATGATTCAGTTTTCGAACAGCCTTCTGGAACGAATTAAGTTCGAGAACTGAGGTTCCACTATATTTTATACATTTTTTATTTTAAATATATTTTTATTGATTGCAGAGAGGAAAGGGGAGGGAGAGATAGAAACATCAATGATGAGAGAGAATCATTGAGCGGCCGCCTCCTGCACACCTCCTACTGGGGGTGGAGCCCGCAACCCAGGGATGTGCCCTTGACCAGAATCGAACCCCAGACCCTTCAGTCTGCAGGCCGACGCTCTATCCACTGAGCCACACCAGCCAGGGCAGTTCCACTATACTTTAAAAAAAGAGGACCAGCCCGGCCAGCGTGGCCCAGTGGTTGAGTGTCAACCTATGAACCAGGAGGTCACGGTTCGATTCCCGGTCAGGGCACATGCCTGCACTGCAGGCTCCATCCCCAGTGTGGGGCGTGCAGGAGGCAGCCGATCCATGATTCTCTCTCATCATTGATGTTTCTGTCTCTCTCTCCCTCTCCCTTCCTCTCTGAAATCAATATGAATATCTTAAAAACATAAAGAAAGAGGACCCAGAGCTCTAGATATTCCACACAATCGTATCTCGTGATGGATTTCAGGCTCTCCCCTAACCCCCGCGGACGAGGAGGGCCCTGGAGTTTCTGAGACGTTAGCTGAACTGCTTTCAACGGGAGATCCTAAGGGTGTTACTGATTCAAGCCAGACCCTCTTTCCTTGTGCACCAAGGAGAGAGAAGGCTTGGTATTGCTTCTCTAGCCTCTGGGGAAGACTGTGGTTGGTGTTAGGGTCGCCCAAGGAGGTACACACGAAGCCGAAAGGGGTAAAGAATTAGGACTTTTTTAGGTCATCTGGGAACTAGAAGGGCCTGCCTGTGGACTGAAGGGTCTTGGGTTCGACTCCAGTCAAGGGCACATGGGTGGCAAGACTGGGGATACTTGCCTACGCTTTTCATCATTCCACCCTGCTTTTTTCCTGGGCGGACGCCAACGCACTTGGATGAAAAGGAAGGCATCTCGTTCCGTTGCGTTCTCATCTCTCCCCGTGCCCCACGCTCATGGGGGACGACAAGGGGCAGCCCGGGTAGCAGCACGCGGGCGCCACGCCGGCTCCCGCGCCCCTAGCCCTCCCCCAGCAGCATCCCCCGCACGCCAGTGCAGCTCCTTATCAAGGCATGAAATGTGGGTGATGGTTCGGTCAGCGTGGGCAGCCCCGGAGCTGCAACACGGGCACGTTTTTGCGGTTGTGCATGGGTGCTCTGGGGTTTGACGTTAGAGCTGCTCCAACAGAATCCCAGGTCTGTGTGTCTTTGCCAACAGGAGCAGAGCGGGCGCCTTCTCTCGGTCATCTGTGATGGATTGGGAGCGAGGCCGCAGGATGTGGCTTCCTGTCTGGAGGGAGCATTGAGCTGCAGGTCATCGGAAACCTGGTGGGGGGACAAGACTGTTGGGTGGGATGGTATGTCCAGAAGAGCAAGGCCTGCCCAGGCTGGTGTGGCTCAGGTGGTTGAGCATCATCCCGTGCAGTTGAAGGGTCACCGGTTCGATTCCCGGTAGGGCACATACCCAGATTGTGGGTTCGGTCCCTGGTCGGGGCTCATGCGTGAGGCAGTTGATCGATGTTTCTCCCTCTCCCTTCCTCTCTCTAAAATCAATACAATTTATCCCTAGCCTGTTTGGCTCAGTGGATAGAGCGTTGGCGTCCTGGGTTTGATTCCAGTCAAGGGCACATGACTGGGTTGCAGGCTCAATTCCTAGTAGGGGGCGTGCAGGAGGCAGCCAATCCATGATTCTCTCTCATCATTGATGTTTCTCTTTCTCTCTCTCTCTCTCTCTCTCTCTCTCTCTCTCTCTCTCTCTCTCTCTTCCTTCCTCTCTGAAATCACTAAAATATATATTAAAAAATAGAAATCAGTACAGTTTAAAAAATTGTCTAAAGACGTAAAAAGGTGAGCAAGGTCTTTGAATTTTGACTCAGCCCCTCACCATGTATGGGATTCAGGACAGACTCTTGAACTTTTCTTTACTGGGATGCTTTTCATCTTGAAATGAGAATTAGAATACCTGCTCACGGGCTTATTCTGCGTGTATAGAGAAAATGCACGTGGAGAGGTCAGCATTGTGTGTGTGCCTGAAGGCCAGTCGTGATTGTATTGAAACACGGTGCCTGGCGTCATGGAAACACGATGTTAGCGTGACAAGGGAGGAGGACGAAAAGTATTTTTGGAGCACGTCTGCACGTGGTGACGGTCAAGGTAAACACGCAAAAAAATTCGATGGCCTTTGGAAGCCCAAACTCCTCCTGGCTGGAGGTCCAGGGAAGGCCTGAGAAAGTGGGTCAGGTGTCAGCAGGGGAAGGCGTGGTTGCCAGGGGCAGGAGGGCGCCCAGTGATCTTGCCCAAGTCGGAAAAGTGTGGGGAGCCCGGCTGGTATGGCTCAGTGGTTGAGCATCGACCTAGGAACCAGGAGGTTGGGGTTGGATTCCCGGTCAGGGCACATGCCCGGGGTTGTGGGCTTGAT